AACCACTTTGAATACACAGATACAAAATGGACATTCATAGGTATACCCCATTTTTTCTAAGTTCCGTTAATGAATATAATAGGTGTGTAAACTCAGCAAAATATTCTAAAAGAGTCCAGTAGCCCATAATAGCATTGGGTCTTCTGTTTAAGTGGCAATGTCAGAAATTATTGACCTGAGTCCCCCACAACTCAACATAACAATCCTGGAATTTTTAAAGGAACTTTTCAGCACAGTGCCTGGGTATGTTTAGCTTCGGAATTTATAGCAATAATTTAGACAGACAGTCATTGTTTTTATTTCCGATTTTCTTTATTTTGTAGCATAAGGGTATCAGGATTCTCTCCAGAAATGTTAGGACTTGATGCACAGTTTATTAAAGTTGCATTTGGCAAAGGATGAAGGCATTGCTTTATAGAAGTTTAAAATTTCACATTTTCATATAATCTGATTCATTTCAAGCTCATATATCTGAAAGCAGACCCATTTAGTATCCTCCACACCTCCCTCCCACTTGTTGCCAGCTGCTACCCATTTCATTCAGTGGCAGGCTCTAAACACAGAGCATCGTGACTACTTTTTCCTTTCCTTTATACTGCTTGCCTACTTCTCTTTATGTTGTCTCTGAAATTATGGAATTCAAGACCCCATTTTAAAATCAGGTGTTGATTGCCTTTTCTAATCTTTTCAGAGCTCTGAAATTGTGGGAAAAGAGACTTCTAAGAGTTTACTGTCAAATCAGAAAGAATAATTAGGTTAAAAGCGCAAATAAATTTTAAGAGTTTCAGTGTTAGAAGACACTTCTCATTGATTTGCTTGAACAAGAATTTATTTCATTATCTCTGGGAACACTAACTTTTCCAACTCGGTAACCAGGGTACTGAATAAACAATTGGAAGTTTTCAAAGTGCACGGTGCATAAGAGATGGTTGATAGATGTATATGAGTGAGGGGACGGACAAATGGGCAGAGTAGAATGGTAATAGTGAGAAGATTGTAAATGCAGCTTCTCTTTTCTGATTTTGCTTAACAGGAATCTGTTTTTTTTTAAATTTTGTTTTGTTTTATTCTTCCAAAAGCAAGTTGAATGCCAGATATTAGAAAGGCATACCTTTCATGTTAACCATTACTGGATAAACACCTCTAATGTCTTGGTTTACCATTTAATGGCATTTCAATGCGGAGGAAATTCAAGAGCACTTTAGAAAGTGTATATAGTTGAAGACCCCGTGGTGTCTATAATGTGTTTAAAAAGAAAGATGTGGTGGATGTCAGTGGTATTAGGATATCAATGTGATATTTTTGCCAAAAATGCTCTTAAATTGTTTATCTACTGCTTGTCTTATTGCTGAGGTCATCAAAAATCATATTAAGCACTTAATAAGAAGGACATAATAATATTTATCCTGCTTTCATCCATATTTATCCTGAACTTCATCTTAGTGCTAATAGGTCATCAACCAAATTATGTTAGCCACTTAATAAAAATGCCATCACAATATTTACCCTGAACCTTGTCCTTATTCAATTATAAAACTTCAAGTACTAAGCAGCCAAGGTTAATGAGTTTTCCTCATTAATTACTCCAGCAAGTTATCCACAAGTTAATTTTATTCTCCCATATATGACTGAAGTGAAGGACATAGAAGTACATATTTCCTCTTTCTGTTTTTTGCAGGGGAAGATGGTGAAAGGAATGGGAGGGGCTATGGATTTAGTGTCCAGTGCCAAAACCAAAGTCGTGGTCACCATGGAGCATTCTGCAAAGGTACAGTGTCCTCTACTCTCGAAATGCAGCTGTTGGAAATTCACAGTACACCAAAACCATGCACATCACATCACCTGATTGTGTTTTTTTTTTATCGTTTACTCTGACTCATTCAAGGTGATAGCACTTACATTTCAGAAAGAAAGATAACAGTAAGGGTAGTTATTTATTAATCTTTGGCTAAATGGTTTTATTTTGCATGAAGCCAAATCTCAGTATGCTTTGAATATCTACCTTGCATGCAGATTAAAAGTAAAGGCTTTCGGGCTAGCCAGATAGCTCAGCGATTAAAGAGCCTACTTAGAAAGATGCAGTGACCAGGGTTTGATCCCTGGCCCGCTTCGCTGGCTCCACCCCTTGGGTGCTCTGAGACATTGAGACTGGGCAGAGTGGTGTCCGCCTGTAATCCCAGCACTTGGGAGGCTGAAAAACAGGAGGATCACTACAAGTTCGATCTGTGTAGTGGGACCCTGTGCTAAATACATTAAAAAAAAAAGTCAAGCCTTTCATTTCTCTAAAGGTAGTGAAAATATGTTGGGAGAAATGGAATTGACTCAAGTTTTAAAATTATCGTAATTGCTCACTGTGTGCAAAATGAGAACCACAACAAAATGTGGCTTTCAACATTTACTTTCATTTGGGCAATATGACTTCTTACCAGGGTTAGCATTTCCAGAAGTGTTAAAATGGGTGAAGTGATGATAGTGAGTGTTCTTACTCTGAAAGGTATCATATTGTACTTTGATAAATCAATTATTTATGTCTGTCATGTACTAACAGTGACTAGCTTTAACAGTGACCAAAACTGGATAAAAATTACTGATCTCCTGGAGCTGATTGTCCTCCTTTCTTTCGTCCTCTTTGTCTTTCATACTACCATTTATTAAGATTTTACTGTGTGTCAGCATGAGACTAAGCAATCTGTGTACAAGCCCATAGCTTAGTATAGGTATTGTTATATTTTATAAAAGGAGCTTTAGAGAGAGTAAGTCATTTGCCTGAGGTTGGCTACCTAGTGGAATTGAGATTGGACTGTGGTGTCTGTAACACCACAGCCATGTAGTGTTTCTTTTTTGTTCTTGAGTTGGTGTCTTTATACTAACTGGTCACTTTCCTACCTGAATCATTGCTGCCTGAATCCTTTAGCGTCTGCCAATCTGAAACATTGATATTGGTTGGTACCTTCTTTTTAGGTCATTTTTCATTTTCCTTTATTTGTTTTCATTCTTAGTTTTTAAATTTACTGGTTCTCATGTTGAGTCCTGCTAATTTGAGGTAAAACAGTAGCATGTTTATCCTCTTTTTATTTAGTGATGCAGCGTTGTCTCAGCATGGAGTTGGAGGATTTGCACTTGGCTTGGTCCCCATGGGGGAGTTCTGTTATAGATGTGTGCTATGAAATGATTCTGTTGTAAAAACGGCAATAAATATAAATTATCATAAATTGTTTAGAAAGCAGTGGGAAGTGTTTTGTGGTGCATAAATGTGGAACAATAGAAACAGAACCAGCATAGGTGAACTCTGAGAGGTGCGTTGCGAAAGCATCCAAAATATATTTCAGAAGGAGAAGGATGCCAAGCATGCAAGTCCAATCTAAATCTTTCCTGGAACATGATACCTATTTGGAAAAAACTTTCTTTTTTCCCTTCTGTTGTTACTGTAATATTGATGCATAGTCACTGAAGCCTGGCACGTTTTGGATTTTTCTGCATTGATTTTCCAAACATTATGCCCATATTTAGCAAAATCTTTCTCTCCCCCTTCCTCTCTACTTTCTCCCTCTCCGGTCTCCCTTCCCTTTCACTCCCTCTTTTTCTTTCTCTCTCCTTCTCTCCCTTTCTCCATAATCTTTTTTTTTCTCAACTGGAATTTCTAATAGAAGAAAATAAAGGTATTTCAAACTATTGACTAGAAATCCTTTACGACAGCTTTCTGCTGAGATTTTACTGTGAAGAAACAAAATCACGTTACCTTTTCTTCATTGTTTTCCTGTGAAGAAATTATATTTTTTAAGATTAGAATTGAAGTTATTTTTCTCTAGATACTGTCACTTGAACAAACCAATAAAAATAACTTGTGATTATAATAATCATAATAAATTGTCATACTTAATAGTTGGATAGTTTTGAAAGTTTACCAACAGAGTATCTCTTCTTATCACCTTCACATCTTACCTGTAGTCCTACAGTGCATGGTTGCTGCTTGGTATTGTCCACCTGGATCTGTGACCAGGCTGGCTGAAGGTGATGTAGGAACCTCACCATATCTTTCCTACATTTTTATTCTAGCTCCAGATACCTTTTTTCATTCCTCTAGAGAGGAATAGTCTTTGATGCTTTGTCTTTCAGTTTGGTAGAGTTTTGCTATATCTTAGCACGTTAGTTTACTTGCTTATGCCACCATGAGACAGTTAAGAAGAGATACTATGTGTCAGGTATTATGAAAGGCGCTGGGGAAATGAAATGATAGAGAGATATGATCATTTATTTTCAGGCAGCTCCAAGTAGCCTGGGAAAAGAGTGTATAATTGGGCACCAAGTTCTTCTGTGGAAGTGCAACCGAGAGCTTTCTGTGGGATGTGTGGAACATTTGCAGGGAGACTTGTAGGATGGCCACACTTCACAGATGACAAGTGCAGAAGTATTACAAGTAATAGAGCCTGGGTCAATGGGACTAGGAGGGCAGTGTGTGTAGAGAGATTTACAGCTAGGGCCTTCTTGTCTGAGAACAAAAGGAGAAGGATTAGATGAAAGTGCACACACACACACACACACACACACACACACACACAGTCTGCCTTTGTACAATGACCAAAGTTTCACAAATGTAAAATAGATTGTGTTGTCTTTTTCCTTAGCCCTCAGTGGATTCACAGGGATTCAAAACCAAAGACCTTATTACTGTCCTATATGATTTGACTTCACTCTTGTTTCTCTGTGATTCTGTTATCATTTTCCCTCTTATCCACCTACCTTCAAACATACTCTTCCTCAAAGTTTCTGGAACATTCTACGCATAGTCATTCCTGAAGACTGTTACACTTTTCATTCTCTGTGTTGCCGGTGCTTTTCCCCACATGACCCCATTATTCACTCCCTCACCACACATAGGCCCAGAAGGCAGAGCAGCTTTCACCATCCTGATGGCCTTTCACCCACATTAACCTGGACTCTGAGAGGCTCCAAGCCAACAGCACACTGAATCTGGGTGTCATGCCTCCAGACCTCTTTTTTTCTTTTGTTAAATTTTTTTAGTAAAAACTATCACCACTAATTTAAAAAAGCAAGTGTTTTATTCTCAGTGTTGAAAACTGGAATTGTATTCCTAAGAGTATAACTTTCAGAGCACAAAAGCAAAGAAATTCAATCATACTTGCCTTTTATTGTAAACAAGCAAAGCTTGGGAACCTGTTTTTGAAATTATAAATGAGAGCTCCATTCCCAAAACGGGTTTCAATTTTATTTTTATTTAGATAGGAGGTCTGCATTCTGACGGGATAAAGAGAACCATAATGATACTGTTATGAATTTTGTGAATGATTTTCTGATTTATTGTAATCTGTCTGATGGCACAGGTCTCAGAAATCTTGAATGGTATTTTATCTTTTTTACTTTTATGAAGAGGAATTATAAGATTATTAGACAATTATTAATCTTATGTTATACCAAATGTGCTATGAAAGCTAATAATGTTTAAAATATCCTTTCTTTGGGAAGATTCCTGCGATAATTTTCAACAACACTAAAAAGTATATTAAGGCATTCCTTTGTTACGACAGTTCATAATTGACAATAGTTTCAGCTGGCTTGATTCTTTTTCATTCCTAAAAGTTGTCATTCTTATATAGTTTATGTTATTATATAGTTAGACTGATCATGTGTCAGAATTTGTTTGGAAAAAAAATACCTTAAAAGAGAAATTTGGGAGGCTGGAGGTACGGCTCCTTGCAAGAGTATGCATTTAGCATGGGTGTGATGCTAGCTCCCGTCCCCAGCACTGCCAAAATATAAAAAGTAGAAATTCTCATGTTTGGTTTTTCCTTTATGATGGAAATCCCTGCAAAAAGTAAAATGTTGCCATGTAGAAAGAAAAGACGTAACAGTTCACAAGCCATTAAATCTCTTAAACATACATTACAGAATTTAACTAAGCTAATAACTTTAAATTCTACTTAAACTTGGAGTTTATGGGCATGAATAGCCACATTTTTTAAAATGGAAGGAAAGCTAGTGCTAAGAGAAGATTTGTAAGGCACCACAGCAACTCATCAGTAGAAAGAGAAAATAATTCCTCGTCCCTGAAGGTCAGGGACAACAGGATGCAGACTTCACAGAGAAAAGCATCCTCCATGTTACGGTAAATTTTGTTTTGTTTTGTTTTATGTTGAGGAAAAAAAATCTATTCTAAGATCTCAAATCACTGAAGATTATTTTCAGGGAATTGTTTTCTATATTCATTATCTCTTTTGCCTAGTATTTCCCTTAAAACTGTCCCTGTAACCACAAGTTCTTACTGCATCCACATATAAAAATCTTTTCCAGTAGCAAATGTTCTCTACATTGGCCAGGCCTCCCTGCTGAAGTTCTGTGTGGATCACTAGAATCTGTACTGAGCAAATGCTATAGAAAGGCCGAATTTACCTTGTGAGGATAAACTCTGTGTGAGCAGAGTTTCCTATTTTGTATTTTGTGTAGCTTGATTTTGTTTATTCAACAAATTCTACTTTTCTATATACCACATTGATTATCACAGTGAACTGACAGCCATGCATTTTTGTATTATACTATTCCCCAGTACTGTATAACTGTGTGTGGCTCAAGGGTGTACAGACAATATTCCACTTGATTGAACCATTAAGATGGATGGACCGAAGGAAGGAGCCAGGGATAGAAGCCGCTAGGCTTTCTTTGATATTTTAGCAACTTAGGAGTCAGATGTGATATTGGCTTCCTTGTTTTGAGCAAAGAATTAAACATTCTCTTGCCAAGTTCTGCCCTTATAGTCTATGCTATCAGTGGATTATGACACATTTGGAGATTAGGAATAAGCAGGTAGAAGAAGTGAAATAACTTTAATTCATTTTGTCTCTTTTTAAATTTGTATCTAGCCTCCCACAGTCCTGAGTTGCTCCTACCTCTTCATTTGATCATTCCTGTACCTGTCTCTCCAAAGTTTTGTGTTCCACTTCCTGTATTCTTGTTAGCTTTGCTTCTCCCAGTGAGCTCTAAGCTGCTGGGAACATACATGTACACACCTGAGAACCAGAAAGGGCCTTAGGTCGTTCCCAGACACTTAGTCATGTGGCATTTTAAAGCTCCAGCTCTCAGAACTACTTGAATCAGAAATGTAATGTTCACGCACCACTTATTGAGCACTGATTTTCCAGGGGTCTGTTACCTGTTGTAGCTTCAAAGCTGAACAGTCTCAGGGCTCAGCAACTCGGAGTCTATTGCACAGTGATGTGTAGTCAGTGACTGAAACATCCCATGTGGTGTGGAAGAAGGAATGGTCCAGGGGCATGGGAGCAAGATATCAGATAGACACATTTTAGAAGATGTGCTCAGGGCAAGTGACACTGAGCCAAGTCCTAAAGCTAAGGAAATATGTTGGGATTGAATTTGAGGTGACAGGATATGAGATGGTGTGTGTTCCAGGTAGCAGGAAACATAAAACCTTGAGGCATTACTTCATTTAAAAACAACCAATTCCCAGGAATTGGGTCTCCTATGTAGTTGATCCTTAGGGCTTTCTCAGAGAAGGTGCATGAAAGGCAACAAGTATTGCAGACAGACACATTAGGAAGTACAGAAAAGATAAGCATGAAATGGGGTGTCATCAAAACAACATCTTAAACAAATGCTCAGTTGCCTCAGGTGTATGAAATGTTGACATCAAGTGGAAAAGTCATTCTGCTATGGAAAAAACACAGCTGGTTATTTGGAATTAAGTGCGCTTTGATAACATGAGACTCACTATTATGTTAGCAGGGATATTTATCACACTTCAACCAGAGCTACTGGCAGAATGTACAGCCAGGATTTCATTCAGACATCTAAAGAATTAAAGAGGGATCATGATGAAGCACATAAGAGATAATATCAAAATGCTAAATCACTTTAAAATGGTGAAGAACTCAAAATCCTGCATGAGATCTATATGCGTTGAACAAGTAAAAGAAAAGCTTGAGGAGCAGGCACAAGAGGCAGATTTAGGTATTCAACAAGGTTTTTGTGATGTTAACAAATAACATGTTGAAACCAAGAGTCACGTTTTGTTATGCCTCTGTGTTTTCTGACATCTCTTATTGATGAAAGAAAAAAAAAGAAGCAGAATAAGGATGAACAAGACCTCATAACCTTGGATTTTTTTGTACATAGATTAAATCCCCTCTATTTTATTATTAGTAATTTAATCTGATTTTCATAAGTACATAGGAAGAGAAAACTACAATTTAAGGGAATTTGTTAAAGAGTGAAGTTCTGGTCTTTGTACTCCACCTGTAGCATTCTTTGCTCTACTGTTTCACTCCTATTAGGATTTATTTTTAAATGAGAACTCAGCAATTAAGCCTTCTTCATAAATCATGAATATATGCAACTGCCAAGGCACAGTGTGAGGCTCAGCCCAGCATGGTGAGAATGGAGTGATAAAGAGGGAGTTAGTCATATTGTAGCCTCATAGTGAACCCATTGTTGAGTACTTAAACTTTATGAATTCCAGTTTCTCTCTCTCTCTCTTTTTTTATCTCTGTTATGTCTTGGAGCTAAATGTGGTTGGAATCATCTAGCTACATTGTTCTAACTGCAAGAATACACTTGGTGCCAATTTGCAAGGCCAGCCGTATGATTACCTCCAAATATATATTGTGTTTTCATTAGTTTTGTAGATCTGAGGTATTTGTTTAGGCCATTTTCTGTCAGATTTCATGTAAGGATTCAAAAGTTCACAATGAATTCCATTGTTGTTTGTGTATATTAAGTTATATTTATACCAGCTAACATTTATTACTAAGTACTTGACAGTTGGATTTCATTTAAGCCTAGCAATGACTCTGTGAATTAAAGTGGAGAAGGAATCATAAGTACATGGATCTTGCACAAATAGTGTTGCACACAGACATTTGGCTCCAGCCCCTACTCTTTACCACTATGATATATTATGTATTCATAAGGTCTCTATTGATAGGGTGCAATTAATGCTGTCAGTTGAAATTCACGATTCCCCCTAAAATAGAGTTCATTGTTCATTAAAATCCAAGTGGTTTCTTTCACACTAGATGTAGATCTTGCTCTCAAATAATGAGAACAAAGTGAGAGCTCCCTACAGAAAATGTTCTTCAGAGGTCTATAGATTATTCACTTTGTTTGAAGTCAGCCTTGGAATTCATTGTGACATGCCTTATTTAAATTATATCAAATGTAAGAAGATCTGACAACTGTAGAAGTTCAAATATTCATCATTAATTTGAGCTGTTTAATTTGGCTTATGTGACATGTAAAATTTGAAATCTTGGAAGAATAGATAATTTAAAATGAAATAAAAGTGATGTTCTCTTTTTAAATTAAGTTTTCTTATGGGGAAAGATGCACAGACATAGAACTTGTTTATATAGGTAATTTCTATCCACTTCGTATATGTATTTATCACCCTTCTTTACTGTCTTAAAGTGATAGAGTTGCCATTTAAAAAAAGATCTTTCAAAGATTCTCAGTAGATTTTCCTTTCCCATTCATTGTTTCATGAATACATTCATTCAAAAGTTATTGAATGGCTTTTATGCCTTGCAATGCCTTAAGAACACTAGAGCCTTTAGATTACTAGGATGCTGCAGAGTAAACTGGTTATGAGGAATAAAGTAAAACTAAATGTAGTTATCTGAAATTCACATCTGACAGTGTAGTCGGTCTGCTTCCACTTTGGGAAAGGTGTAAATTATGTAACAAATTCATGTTTAAATTCAGGAAATTTGAAATGATAAAAGATAGCATCAGTGTTGTACTAAGTGTCCTTATATTTAATAGGTAAAAACAAAAACATTCATGTATAAGAGATGATTCCTGCATGTCCTGAGTTCACATTCCATGTTAAGGGGAATATTTAAGATGCTGGCTCTTGATATTCAAAAAAGAGCTTACTCATAATCATAAGAAAATGTTTTTAAGATCAGATAATCAGAATTAATATTTCAGTTGTGGTCCTCGGACCTGCCCTTGCGGCCACTTTTATATTGACAGTAGGTGGGCCTGGGGAAGGAAGTTCATGGGTAAAACCCTGTTTTCTATTCTTAATTTGTTTATGTTTGCAGAAAGAGAACTGTGACTAAAAGAAACTGAAAAAAATGTGCATTTACATAAGCTCACACATTGTACTGATGAGCAAACTGAAGTTCAGCTAAACTCTAGATGGAACATGCAAGAAAGTAAACACAATATGCTACAATACGTAGTCCATCCATGATCAGGTTTAAATGATCATGAGATCTCACAATGATAAAAGAAGTTGTTTTTAGATATTGTCATTAAATCGTCCAGTTTGGCCAGGAATGTGGACTCCTCCTGTGTATGCCTCCCAAGTAGTGGGGATTATAAGCATGCCTTTTAATTTAGTGTTTCTATTTAGCAATTCTAGATTGTTGACACAACTAGAGCAAGATACTGGAGACTAGACCCTTATGTCTGCCCTTCCCATTGTGGTATATCTAAAGAAAAATGTAAATTCTCATCATGAAGTTAACTACCAAGTGTAAAATGTCCATACTAAAACAGTTGAAAGTGATAAAGGTGGGTTTGGGGGTGATGATTATATGAGAATAAAATCCTCATCTATCACAAAGAGACTAGTAATTAATGTCTAAATTTGATTAATGAAGAAATAAGCATGGTTAACATATTTAAATTGTGGATATCAAAAAAATTGATAGAAAAAAATGCTTTAAAAATGGAACTGTAGTTCCAGTTAAGGAAGGCAAGGCACTACTGTTTCTGTGTATCTGTTTTTATAACAAATAAAAATTAAATTTTTTGTAATTTTTAAAGGGTGCTTTGGCACTTGGGCTCTACACATGTTTCCTCTACTTGGAGACATGGTCATATTTTTGAGAATCATTCTCTGGAAGAAAAAATGGCAGCATATTAGAAGTGAAATTTTACATCAGGTTATGCAAGATTAAGAGACTTGAGAGGTCAGCTCTGTGGCCTGGCATTTCTCAAATAAAACATGTATATGCCTAGCTGTTCACTTGGCATCTGCTCTAAATTATTTCAGGGACAGAAACTGCCTGCAGAAAGAGTAAAAAGATGGCTGTGCAAAGGTTTTACAACATGTATTTTGAAGACAATTTCTCTGGGAGTTGCTATTTCTCCTATACTTATACCTATTCTAAATAAGAATTGCTCCCTAAATACTGTTTTTGATGGTTCTTCTTTTTTTTAAACAGGGAAATGCACATAAAATCATGGAGAAATGCACATTACCACTGACTGGAAAGCAATGTGTCAACCGCATTATTACAGAAAAGGTAAAGTGCCTTTCTCTTTTATTTCCTCTAACGTCTGCCATTGTTTTTTAAAAGGCATTTTAGAATTTTGTGTTACCTTTTGAAGTATATCATGTCAGTAGTAATAGGATTAATTTAGTTTGTGAGTAGAATGAGTAATAAAAGGCATCCATGTAATGTTTCTATATATAGAATTTTTCATGAGCAACTCTGGAAATATACATATACGCAACAAAATTGAACTTCCTTGGTAACTTTGACATTGTGATATAGTCAAGGAAAGTTTTATTGATTCTTCTATTTTTTGACTATTAATTTATCAAACTGGATGTGATATATATATATTTTTTGATGTTTGTTTGTTTTTTCCTTCCCTGAATCATGAGTATAAATTGTTGGGTTTCACATTAGAAAACTCAAGCAAAATTGACTTTTAATCATGTGGATGTGAATTGTAGTACAGGCTTCACAGTGAGCCAAGAAACTTACTGTTTCTTGTATGCTTTCTACCTTAACACACTAACATTTGAGAGCCTCTCTGGATTTGTCTTCTGAGGTAGGAAATGTTGATCAGCATCACAGCTAGAAGCTGCCCACCGAAGAGAAGCACTGTGGGTAACTTGCTACAGTTACTTTTCTATCTCAGATTTGAATTTAGGGTGTTGGTTGTCATAATTCCTGTAAGTCAGTGAAGAGGGGGCTTTTTTTGTGATTGTGTCTTAATGAAACCACAAAATAGAGTTATCTGTATTGTGTTTTTTCTTCTTTTTTCTCATCTCCTTCTGGCAAGGGCGATAGAAATAGTGTCTTGCAGTAATCTAATTCACTAACCCTTAAGCAACGTAGAGCAGGCCTTTGAAGTGGGTTAGGTTCAAAGTGGGTTAGGTTTTAAAGGATATTCTGTCCTATGGTACCTCCTCAAAATTGTTTATGTGGAATTCCTTAAACGTGACTTACAGAAGAACAAGTGCCATGTCTTAGTTAGTAGTCTCAGCAACATGCTTCTCTTGTTGCTGAGACAAAATACCTGACAAGGAAGGAAAGGTTTATTAGCTCATAGTTTTGGAGGTTTCAGTCCATACTCAGCTGCTCCAAGGCAGAGCAGCAAGGCACAGGGCAACATTTCATGGAGGTGAAAGATAGCAAAAGCAGCAAGAGCAAAAAGGAAGGGAGACCAGACCTCTTTCCCTCCCTTATTATAAGCAGGCTACCAGCGTAGGGCAAGTGTAGCATTCACACCATCTCTGTGCCTTCTTCCTCTTGCACAGGCTCAAGTGTTTACAGAGTGAGTCCCCTGACCCCCCACTGAATTACTTAGTTAAGCCTCTAAACTTCTGAAGTTGACACAGTAAATTAACCATTAACCTGCTAGAAATGATAGAATATTTTATCTCACCCTTTATGCTTGGTGTCTTTGCCATTTCTTGAATACCTCCAAAACTATAGAAAGAACTTATTGAGAGGATCTACTGATTTGGAAATAGGAAAGAATAGTCAATCTTGTTTTCTCAACAAAAGTAGTAGTGTGGTAAGGATAATTTCAGCAACATTCTTTCCCGGTCTGATCTTCCCCATTTCCTAAGTAAGCCTTCCCCTCCTTTATATATCTTTCCCTCATTCTTACAAGGTTAGTGCTCTGCCTGCAAAATCACGCACTCCTCTTTATGGCCCTTGAAATTCTACCCATCACTTAAGCTTCTGGCAAGTTCCATTTTTGTTATAAAGAGGTTTCATACCACCTTAGCACAGAACAATTTTATCCTCAGAGTGCACTACCACTAACTTTGGTACCTGCCATCTAATTCCTGTGTTTTCTTATGATACAGCTATGTGAGTTGGCTTTCTGTTGCTGGTGTCAAATATCTGACACACACAATTTAAAGGGCAACATGGCTTAAGTGGCTCATGGTTTCATAAGGTTCAGCCTATGATTGTCTGGGTTCAACATAGAACCATCATGGTGGAAGAGCATTGCAGAAGAAATCAGTGCAACTCAGCTCCAGGATGCAGAGAGTAGGTGAAGAGGCGCAGAGAGGAAGGGGACAGGAACCAGATGTAATCCTCAGGGTCATGCCTCCATGAGCCGCCCAGGCACACCTGGAAACGTGCTTTACTAACTAAGTTGAGTGTCAAGATTAACTGTCCCAACAACTTATATTGTTATTTATAGGTATTGTCCTTAAAAAAGACCTTTTATACCTTTTCTATCCATCTAAGCTGTTGATTTACTCATTTGTTCATTTTAGAAGTGTTCTTAAGCACTTGGAACTAGACTGTTCCCAACAGTTGGATACGAAAAGGAGGAGGACACATTTCAAAGGGTTAGATAGATCTCAAACATCAGTAGCATTTAAAGTAATAAATACTGCAGAGAACACAGTAGAGATCCATGCTAGATGCTACATTAAGAACCTAAAGCACAGCTACTGACAGCCTGGCCAGCAGTGGCTAGCAAGGAACACTCTTAGGTGCAGTATATCATAGGCAGTGTTTTGTAAGACACTGCATAGCCTGTACCCTTTCTTCTCAGCTCTCAGTTTCTTTCTTTCTTTTTTTTTCCCCTCCCTTGACATTCTCCACTTCAGCCATCCTAAAGTACTTTGAGATACATTGCATTTCCTTCTGGACCATGTTCTTCAGGGACTTTGCCCATTCTGAAATTCTCTCTGAATCATTGTTCTTACCCCAACCCCAAAGATCAGTAATTTCTGCTCATCTTTCACCTCAGCTATTCATGTTATTTTCACCTCTGGCAGGTATTTCCTATCCCTCCACAAATCTTCTGGGTACTTCCCTGAATACTTGTACTTGTCCTAAGTTAGCACTGACAGTTGTGTTGAAATAACCCTGGGCTCTGCTCATTTCATTCGTAATTCTTAATCCAACATTGAACATGGTGCCTGACCCAGTCTCAGTAAACATTCATTCAATAAATGTACCATTGCTTTTCTTGGGGAGAAAGCTGATAGATTTTCCACGTTGCGAGCCTTGAAAGACAAACAGGAATTTTACAAATTAGAAAATAAATCTTTCAGGTAAAGGGAAGAAAACATGAAGTCACAGATGAGTTAGGAAAATATGACCTGTTTAGAGCAAGGGCACACCTAGAGTCTGAAGGCTAAGGTAGAAAAGACAAGGGCAAATAATGGGGGAGTAGAGGTGGCTTGTTAAGAAATGTAGTTCTTATCAGGAAAGGAGTAGGGAATCCTTCCATAACTTTTGGTAGTTGGGGGAAAAATTGATTAGATTTTTTTTTTAGAAGAAACAGACACTTTCGTAAAATAAAGGGAGACAAGATGAGACAGAGTCCATTTAGAAAGATCTTGACTGGTATAAACAAGTAATCAAGATTCTAACACAACCAAAAGAGAGATTTGAATGAGATATAGGAGACGGATTTGACCTAATTTGATGATGAGTAGAACACAGCAGTTAAGACAGAGATGATGCTCAAGTTTTCTGGCTAGAGAGGAAAACTTGTTGACCTGTTGTATTCTTAGCAGCTCCCACAGATGGCTCCTAAGAACGTGACACATTCTTAAGCACGCTGTGGTTTCTTCATCAGTCAGCGGTGCTTACTCAGCCTTGCGGTAGTCTCCTACTACAAAGAGTGTTTAATTCAGTGCACACAGGATTCATGCTTAGTATCTATGACTCTGTAGGGAATAATATATCAGGTCCTGAGGATCTACTGATAGTAAATATGATGTCACTTTTTTCCTGTGCCAAAGCACTAAATTTTTTATAGAATCTTTACTCTTTTTAAGTCTGGCCACAAAGATATCCATTCGGTGTGGGCAACAGATGGAACAAGAAGAGCCATTGTTCATGTTACTATGAGTCTGGCTTGATTTTCATTTTTAGTATGTTGTCTTAAATTTGATAATGTCAAAACTGGAAAAAAGAAAGGGAAGATAAATAAGTTAGCTGCTTTCTCAGATTTATTTGATGAATTTTTCAGCAGGTTAAAGTCATGTTTTCTACTGGGTTTCACCTAATCACAGATGAGATGCTAGTACTATGTAGAGGAAATTACAGCTTTAGAATGTTTATACCTAACAAGCAAGTTAAATATGGCATAAAGTTGCAGATTTTGGCTGACACTAAGATTTCAGCTAAATGCTGAAATCAGTATCCTGGTACTGAAGTAAAAGCAGCCAGTCTGACCAAACCTACCTGACCTACCAATCATAGAGTTTTTTTGAGGTTTATGGAATGTATTGAAGATACTAAAAGAAATATTAGCTGTGATAGTTGGTATAGCTCAGTGGAACTTCTTGATGAATTTTAAAATAAAACCTCAAATTATGTAGGCTCTTTGAAAAAAAAAATAAGGCTCTACCAACTGAACTTTTACCAAGAAGAGAATGAACGGTTCAGCCATCAGTACCTAGATTTTATGCTCTCAATATATTATTCTCATGTACCAAAAGGGTAAAAATGTTCTGTTAATGTAAGTATGTAGCACAGTGATTCTGTTGACAAATAAACTTAAAGCCCGATATTATTCACTTTTATAACAACATAAAATCTGGAATTGACATTTTTCATGCAAAATGTGCATCATATTCAACATCTATGAGAGCCAACAGTTGGCCAATGGTATTTTTGTATGCCATCTTAAATGTTATGGATGTTAACTACCATGTATTTTACTGGTTTGCACAACAAAGTGAAATGATAAAATGTTTTGCTTTTATTAAACCTCCTGTGATGCAACTAACTGAGGAAAATCTGCATTCTAGAATGGCTACTAAAAAAGTGCTCCTAAAAATACAAAAACTGATAGCAGAAATCCTGGAAATAGAGATTCCTATTATAGAAAAGTGCAGACAAGCTACTGATAAAAACAATAAAAAAGACATGCCAGGTGCCCCAGCAGCAAGGACAGAAAAAGTGCTAGTGAGGCTTATAAAATGCCAATTTTTAATCAGTTCTATAAGAAACATTGTCCTTTTTGTGAAAATTGAGCGTTTTTTGGTTACAAATACTTATGTAATGTGTTTATAAATAAATATTTAGCATAAATATTTTTTACTTTTATAAAAGTAAAATTAAATTTATGGCTCTTGAGTACCCAGGAGTAATACATCTAAAACTAGAACAAGTCAGTTGTTGCTGCAGGTTTGTGGAGCCCAAGACTGTAAGAAGACCAGGAAAAGAACAGGTTCATTTCAACATTCTCAGTTTGATATTCTGAGGATATCCAGTGAGAGGTAGTGATTAACGTTTGGAAATTTGGATCTGGAGCTTATACGAGAAGTCAGCAATGGAATAATTCATTAGTGTGTGAAGATAACTGGAGCCTGAACTAGAGGTGACATTGTATTGCAAAACTGAGTAAATTCTGGGCAGCCAACTTTGAATTTTCAACACCTCAAGAAAAGGAATGTTGTATGCTCACCAGTGTGCTCTGTGCAGACCACGTGCTTTACAGGCGCTTGCTGAGTGGGTGAGTGGCAGTGTGTCCAGCCCTACAGTGGCTCGTAAAGGACTGAAGCTCCAGTGTCGAGTCCAAGGGAAATTCCAAGTTGCCCTTTGAAAGATTCTTTGGGGACAATCCCTGATTGCTTCCTGATGTTAGAATGAAATTATGAAAGACGCCTTCCTCATCAACATCTGGACTATAATTAACTAATGATAGCAAATTAATTAGCTAACTATAACATACCCCTTATATTGTGATAAGGTAATTTCTATAAAACAAAGTGGTTTCAAAATTATTCTTAGAAGTTGAGCAATTTATTATAGCTTTTAAAAAAGCTTTGGTCTTAATTTCTGTGAGGTTTTTGCTTGCACTTTATACCACTAAATGGAATTATCCTTAAATATTTTAAAAGTAAACGTCCCTCTTTTAAAAAATAATAAATCATTGCCTTTCTAATGAATGATCTTGGGAGACAATTAGAGTGAGATAATTTTGTTTTGCTTTCTTGGTTGTGCCAAAAAGCCTCAGGACCTTGCACTTGCCAGGCAAGCACTTATTTCAATGCGCTATCTCCCCAGCCCCTAGACAAATATATTAATAAAGGTATTTTTTTAAAAAAAAGCAACAAGTCAATTTGCTATACATTTCCTCCTCATTCTCAAGGCTTATATTCATAATTTCATAGTTATCTTCCTTCCAAATCATTTCTGTGCCTGTTCTTAATAACAAAGTTCAGAGATGCTTTTTCTCTTGTTTCATGTTTATAAATTTACCATAGTTTATAATTCAGGAAAAAGTAAGACAACTTGACAATAATGCAGACATAGTTTCTATAAAGGAAAAGTATGCATGCAAGAAAAAAATTGCGTCTTTTTTTTTTTTTTTTTTTTTTTTTTTTTGTGGCAGGCTTAGCCCACCCTGGGGATGGGGCTGGCCTGGCATGTGGTGCTGGGGATCAAACCGTGGTATGTGTTTTGCCTAAGTTTGCCTAAGCAAGTGCTTTAGACCACTGAGTTATCTTACTGGCCCCAAAATTGTCATTTTGGGTAAAGCAATTAATGGGTTATATAGACATTCCTGGATAATCATTTTCTTCTCTTAAAATATTATGTCTTCAGACAAAACTTTTGTTTGTTGGGTTTTGTTAGGAAGAAATGAGCAAGTAAAAGGAAAGTTTGCTAAGGTATTTTCTTTTAAGCTTAAATCATATTTTGCAATAAAACCAGCCATGTTGGGAATGCAAGTATCTCTCATCCCAGTGATATTTTGCTTCTGATTTGGGTTCACGCACAGTGAGGTAAGGAGTAAGAACGTGCCTGCACTGCACCCCTGCCTTCTCCCAGACCTGGTTCTTAATGTATGCTCTTGCTATTCTTGTACTGTGTCGCAGCTTTGGGGAGTGGTTTTTATGATTCACTTCTACAGTTGCAGACAGGTTCACTAAGGGTTGCTTACCTGTTGTGAAGCAGAGCTGAAATTGCTAGTTTAGTCTAAATGACAACGTTCTGCCCTTCACTTGTTGCTGGGTCTTGATATTGGCCTTCTAGCCAGGAGAGTGTTTAAAATGCCACCTCAGGGGTTGACTTCAAAGGTAGTCTAAAATCAAAGTTCATACCATGCAAAGTAACAAAGTTTTGATCCTGCAAGTAATGACTGAGTTTAAGTTCAATCCAGAGGAGGTGAACATTGGACATTTAAGTATGAGGAGGACACCAGCTGCGAGAGCTGTGACAGGACTGCAGGAGTCGGGTTGGGGCTGCTGGGAAGCAGATCAGTTCTTACCACACGAACTTCCCCTCAGCAGACAGACCACCTTGAAACAAGGGAGCCTCCCGTAGTGGAAGTATCTAAGAAATCACCTTGGAAAACTTTTGAAGAATTCTTGGGTGGATGGTTATATTTGGTGCTTTTTAGGTCCCTCCCACAGGTTAAGCTGTAGCAGTTGGTGCTGCCGTGGCCTGAGGCAGTGGGCCAGAATCCAGATTGCAAGACTTAAGGGCAAGCTGACATCCTTGCAGTTGTCCTAGATGTATCTTCCCCCCTTGGGGAGTGTGTGTTTTCCTTAGGCTTTAAAGGGAAATTTTTACCATTTAACAGGTCTTTCAGCACTAAGATGGTCATTCTTTTATAACTATTTTCAGGCACTTCAAAGCACCTTTTTTGTTTTCTGTAATTCTTCACACAGAAGCATTTATAAACCTGTTTGCATCATCCGAGTCTCTCTTTCCAATTATCCCCTGCTCCTTCCCTTTCTTCCTTCTTTTTTATTCCTCTCCTAATCATTTTTAATCACCTTGTTGACATTTCACCAAAAGTGTTAGACTTAGCAAGAGGAGAGTAGATTTTAGAAGCTGGCAATGATGGTAATAAACTGCCACCAGTAGTCAGCATGCAGTTATTTTTCTGGCATCAACAGTGTTCCACAACTAATTGCTGATGAGGGAGTTGACATTTATTTCTAATACTTACTGTTGACATTTTTTTCATTGCTGATTTTCAGAGTCTTTTGTGCTGTAAAATAATTATTATGATGGAAGTTGTCATTGTCATTTCCTTGACTCCCACAGGCTGTGTTTGACGTGGACAAGAAGAAAGGGCTGACTCTGATTGAGCTCTGGGAAGGCCTGACAGTAGATGACATACAAAAGAGCACTGGGTGTGATTTTGCAGTAAGTGTTTCTGTGAGCAAATCCAGCCTCTTGGGTTGCCTCGCGGGCTCAGTGAATGGGTGTTTATAAGACATAAACCACTAATTTGTGATCATTTTGGGAAATGACCTTTGTGTTGAACAGGAAAGGAAGGAAGGAGCCTGCAGTAGAGAGCAGGTGGGAGCAGAGGCCGTGCTCTGACTCACAGCCTGGCCGTGGCCCTGGAGTCAAAATGGGCAGCAGCCCAGAAGTGGCCGGATGAGCCGGGCGAGCTTGCTCTCGCAGCCCTTTTCTGTAAAAGCCAGGCAGTTCCCCTCTTTGAGTACATGTCACTCAGGATTGAGCTTGATTAGCTCAAAAGTGGGACAAGATACAGAAAAATGATGCTTCCTTTTTTAAATTTTTTTGGTGGGTTCCCAAGTTTTATTCAATAAAAAATATTCCAGACAAAGGAGCTTTAATCCTCATCTTCCTCCTCCTCTTCATCCTGGTTAATCTGGAAGTAACGAAATTCGTAACTCTCTTTGCTGCTAGCAACTACGCGTAACCAGTCACACAGATTATTCTTCTTCAGATATTTTGTGGTGAGGTATTTCAAATATCTTTTGGAAGAAGGCACCTCGGAAGTCACAGTGATCCTGGTGTTGCTCCTTTCAGTGGTGACCACCCTCCACCAAGATTCCCAGCTTTGCCGTTCACCTTGGTTCTCTCCTAGAGAAACCGCTCGAAACTGGTGGCGTCCAAGATTCCATCATCCACAAGATGCGTGTGATCAAGGGGGAACTTCAGGACCTGTTACTTTTTTTTTTTTAACCCCCTTTGCCTTTGGCGCAAGCTTTTTCGTGGGCGTCATGGTAGCCAAGGAATCAGAAAGGGCAATGCATCCTTTTTAAAAAACCCATTAATGATAGGTTGTCTCAGCCTTTTTGAAATTTTGGAATTAAGTAAAAGTAAAGCTGTATGTCTTTCAAATAATGGAAGATAGATTCTTAGATACTTTTACACTCGGTCTTAGCCAAAAGGCTGGGAAGCAATCTTACATACTTTAAAAAGAAGAAATAAATAAATAAAAGAAGAAATCTGCTAATTAAAATGAAATGTAAAAGAAGAAAACATGTTAATGTTGCAGCTACCCTTCTTAGAGAAACAAATTAAAAACTTATTTGACAAGTCATATATAAGTTTTGTACATAACTTCCTATACATACTACATGCTTGGCTTGAATCTATCAGTACATAACAGATTTCTTTAAAACAATTTTGTTGCATAATTCATTATCCACATAATAACTATTCCTGCTACTGTACCTAGGTCTTTGTCTATTAACCTTTTCTGAATTTCGCTTTAGAGGAAAGAAAATCTCTAGTAGTATCTTGATTGAAAGCACATATTTAAATTAGCTTTCCAATATCCTTGGAGTGGGGTGCTATTTGTACTTTAAAATTTCTTACCCCAATGATAAAAGCAAAGTAATCAGCTATTCTTTATTTGTGTGTGTGTGTGTGTGTGTGTGTGTGTGTGTGTGTGTGTATAAGGGTTACCCTATATGTCAGATGATATTTCTGAGATCCATAGAGTGTTCAGTTGTCCGCTACAAAAGAGACTATAAAACAAAACACCCCCATTATTTAGTTGTTATACATGCCAGTAAATCCAGAATGAAAGGGTGTTTTTATAGCTTTTGCTTTGTTTTCACATAAAACATGCCATTTTCCACATTTTCTTTCTTTTTTCATTTTAATTTCTTTTTTTATTCATTTTAATGAGAAAAGATAAAGTAATAGTGAAATAGTTTCAAAATGGGTTAGTAGGACAGTTACAATAATTAATGCATTGCATATTGTTGTCTTCATAGTAGTTATTCAGAGGACAAGATGCAGACTTGATATCTTTGTCTAAACAATATTAGTACAAACCTTTCTTCTCAATGAACTAGTCTCTGTGGTTCCTCTTGTATTCCAATACCATCCCTTCTTTTACCGTTTCCATTAGTTTTACCTAAAATGTACATGGGTTTATGTATGTGGGATGTTACTTTTTCTCTTATTGTATGTCTGTCCTTGAGCTGGCAAGACTGAATGCATTCTCGTTAATCCTGACCTCTACGCCAAGCTGTATTACCCTTTTATTCATTCTTTAGTAGAAAACATTGCTTTATTCTTATTTTATTCTTAGTCATTTTTAGTACAAAACTGGGATAAAGGTCATTAACTCTTGACATTGTGAAAAGTAATACAAAATTTATTTATAAATGAACCTAAAGTATCCTCATCAAATACAATTAATTGCCTGCTTTTTTAGTTTTTAATACTGATTTAGTCATTCTTAGGAACCCTTCTTAGTTCTTTGGAGTTTATTTTACCATACATTCCATTCATTTATTTATTAATTTTACAAAATATTAATTATGTTTCCTGGAAGAAAAATACTAACATGGCTTATTACCATTGTCATATCAAAAAGCGCCTAAATTTTAATACTTTGTGCTATGCTTTCCAGATACTGTTCCTAACTAGGGCCTTGTGCCTACTTGCATCTTAAATTAAGAAATATGTCTGGGTGTGATGGCATGACAAGGTGTGATGGTACACACCAGTAATCGTTGGAGTTGGAGGCTGAGTGAGCAGTATCTCTATGAGTTTGAGGTAGCCTAGCATACACAGTGAGCTCAAGGCCAGCCTGGATTATGTGGCAAGACCGTCTCTCAAAAACAAAGCAAAACAAAATCTACTTCTGTGTTTTGAATGATCGATTATAGTTAACCCATATCATGTACATTTAGGATTCTCCTTCTAGTTCTACCTTAAACATAAACTTGTTTTTATTTTTGTCCAGTGTCCCAGATATGAGACTGCTGTTATATACATTGCACATAATTGATGTGTAACAGTTTTAATGCTGTTAGCACCTTTCGTCATAATTTAGAGTTGTTTTACAGTTTTGTATCATTTTTCTCCTGAATCTGAAATTTTTAAGATCTGTTATTGATCATTTATCTCTTCATTAATACATATCCAGGTAATTCAGAGATTACCTTAATTGCAAATCTTCCATTTTGAGGATTTGGAGACTTGTACTTTTGAATAGCCTTGGCTGAGTTCTCAGAGTTGTCATCTCCAGGACCAGGGTCCTTCCGGGGGAGGCCTTGCCTGTCAGGACTCTTTCCTTGTCTCCTTCTGCTCCCACCCTACATTCTTCCTCTTGATAGACCCATTCATCACTAATTTAGGAAGTATAATGCCAAAGGTTAAGAATTATTAAGAGCTCACATGTGTGCAAAACAGCTATGTTTTGGTGGTTTCAGAATGAAACATATTGTCTAGCAAGGCAGCTTTGTCATGGCCTCCTGGCTCTCATATGGACAGAGGGGGCTTATGGAAGCTGGTTGGCTCACAGAGCTGCTATTCTCCTCAGTGTACTCACCCTTGGATGAATGTGCTGTTGGAAGGCGGGGCCTGTCCAGAAGAGGCAGGCCTCTGGGGAGAGTCTGTCTCCATGCCTGGTCCTGCCGGGGCACTTTGCTACCTGGTCGCCATGGCATGGGCAGCTTTCCTCTGCTGGGCTTCTCCACCCTGCCACTTCTGCTCCAGACCTCACTGGCTGGACAGTAAGTGTGAGTGAAAATGAACCTCTTCTCCTTTAAGTTGTGGATGCCAGTTGTTGTGTCCCAGTGACCAAGGACAGCACTGGTCATGGCAGGGCTGCTTATTGCCTGTATCATGCAAGTTTAGAAATTCAGAGATGTGTGTCTCAGAAGGGTTTTCATATTGTGATTTTTTTCTCTTTTCTTTTACCAGGTTTCACCAAAACTCATCCCAATGCAGCAAATCACAACTTGAAATGTGGAACAGACATTTGTCGCCAGCTGCTAGTTTTTCATTTTAAACTCATAGGATTTAATTAAAAGGACATCAGGATCACAATTGTATATTTAACAAGTTGTTTTTGTTAAGTTTTCTTCTAGTGTTTCAGGAGTTACACAGCCATATAGACTTTATTCTCTCAAGCATGTTACAACATTTTAATGAAAACAAAAGAAACATATTTATGCTTACTTTGTTTCATAAGTACTGAGAAGGTTATTTTTACCATTGGTGCTCTTATCAGATGTGCTCATATCTTCATCTTGTATAGTAAATTATATGCAGTATTCACTAAGGGGGCCCTAACAAGAGTTTCATTGATATACTTTCCCTCATAACTAAATTAGGACTTAGTACTGATTTAATAATGCATATGTGAATTTGTTATTTGGAAGAATGTTCTCTTAGAGATTATTTTTCCTTCAGCTGACTTTCTTTGGGAGCTCTGATTTTGTGATTACATCCTATTTCCCTACACCATCTCTCTCCCTTTATATTTTTTGAGTTAAATAGATACCCAAGAAAAGCAGGAGTGTCTCTGGGAAGAAAGGCAATGGATTTGTGAAGAACCAAGAAGGCACAGACTCTGGATTGCTGCTGAAAGTTCAGCAAGACATTGCCTTTATGGACAACCATCCACCCATTTGTGCTTTGCCGAAGTCTGAAAAAAGGCTAAAAACTTAACTGATTGACATGGATGCTTTTGAAGATTTTAAAACAGCATTGTATTCCTTTATATCCAGAAAAATGCTGAAGATAACTTTCTTTTGCTGAGGCCCACTGGGCTGCCTGTACTTCTTAGGCCAACAAGGGCTGAGAGTAATTTATCATTAGTTCTTGGTCATAGGGAGAACAGAGTCAAAAGACAGGAAAACGACAGGTATTTACTTTTCTGGGCTCACGTTTCTATTCAGAAAAGACTCTAAGTATTGAATGATTTTTCTACAGCACAATTTTTTTTCTTTTACCCAGAATACTTAGTTTCCTAAAGTACTTCTGATTTAGCCTTATCTGGAGAGAAACTCATGATGGGCAAGACCTGGCTGTGGAGAACTGGGAACTTTTGGTGTTGGTGCTGGATGTGGCGGAGTAGATTTACAAGAAGTGCTTTTTCAAGGTATCATCAACACCAGACAGATAACAGTTACTGAGGCAGGAGGGTGGCTTTCAGAAGCATCCTGCATATCAGATGGGAGAAAGTGTAGACCTTCTGAAGGAACAAGGAACAGCTGGTCTCTCGATAGACGTAGGCATATTACAGTGTAATATGTCATTATCTTGGCATTCAGTATAGGAATTTATTCATATTTTAGGTGATAATTGTCACTGAACTGCACTTGTCTCCTAGTATAGTTACAGTTATGTCATGTATAATATTCAAGGGAAAAGAGAATTGTTTTTAAGAGCACCACACTCCGTATATTAAACAGCCTTCCAAGCAGGCTGCATGGGTGAAAGTATACACTCCCAGTACTGGTTAAAAACAACAACTTTTCATATAATATACTAGGTAAACAAGGGAAATATATATCTATATTAGAGTAATAATTTAGAAAAATATTTTGTTAGTTACTGTTGTATTTTCAATGTTATTTGCTTATCATTCCAGTCTTTAACATGTAATTCTAAGAATTTCCTAAACAGTGGCAGAATCTAAGTTAATAACTTAATATTCGTGATCAAAGAGTGCAGAGATGTTAACAAATGCATTAAGAAATACAATAAAGATTCCAAGTTGGTAGAGATCAGTGTGAGTGTCCTTTTTATTAATTGTGAATGGTATGACTAAACATGAAAATACTGCAACAAAGATTATTAGAATAACCAACAATAAAGTCAGTACACTTTACCACTTCTAATCAGGTTGTTGCTTTGCTTTTTATCTTACCAAAGAAAAGATATTGGCTTTCTAGAAGAACAAATAAAGCATTATCTAAATGAATTCTGTACCTTGCTCCTTATCATAAGCAATCACATGTCTGTTAAAATTGATTAAGGATTCATGTGTTAATATTTTTGGCTTTTATCTAACATTTTCCTTTATGAAACACATATATTAATTTCCCAGTGACTTGTTATGGTACATTTTGAAGTTGTTTCCTGTACTTTGCCCAGCATCTGTTTTGCCTCTCTAGTGATGGATGCCCCCTCTGGCCAGAGGGGTCGCAATTTCCCAGAATGCCATTTTTGATAGGACTCCTCCACTCACTAGTTATGACAACTAGATGCAAACCATAGCTCTACGGTAACTGATGAGACAGTTCCTTCCCTCAGAGTCCCAATAAAATACAAATGAGGTTTGATTGTACTATGCTTGATGGGCCTTTATGAAGACTTCAGGCAACCATATCCTAGCTCTTTCTAGCATGACCCAGTCATGTCAGCATCTTTACTGACAAACTATGGGGTCCTGGATGCTCAAAAAAGACATTCTGTGTTGTTGGCTTATTTCTTAGTAGCGTGGTAGCCTTCAAAAATTTTTCAAGATGTAAATAGACAGCTTCAGAAGAAAGCTAGTGTTCTCTTTGAAGTTCCTCTCTTGATTGAGAGATAAGAGGTTGTAGCTTCTACTTTGTTTTCTAAAGTCACAATGCCCAAAACTCTGCACATCTCTGAACCTGCTTTGAGCTCCCAATCCATATACCCACTAAATGTAGGCAAAAATCAAAACATTTTCTTACTTATTCTCAGCCAGATATTTCAAAATCAGTGTATAGTGACAGATCTTTGTTTTAAATGTATGTATTTGTGTAGCAATTATTGGCCCGTGGCAAGTTTCAAAATATATTATGAATTAAATTACTGGTTGAAACAGGTAGTTCTAGGCCAGGCTTAAAGGATTCCCTTCAGCTCATCAGATGAACATTTTCAGGAAGATAAAGGGGAGAAAAGAGGTGTAATCCACAGGCTGCAACAGAGAAAGAAGCTTTCATTAACACTTTATAAAACATCCAGTATATTCTAGCTAGTTATTTGATTTTCACAATAACTTGCCAGGGAGACATTATTAACCTCCATTAAAATTAACTTGATTATTCTGAGAGAGGTAATGTCTACCAATTTCTCCATTAGCCTTTCAAGACTAATGCTGGATTTTGCTAACTTGTTAATAAGATGTGAATTAAATCCCCTAAACAGAACTAGATTTGTTGGTCTCTGGTAAACTTTAAAAGTCCAAGCCCTTCATAGCTATTGGAACATGTATTCAAACTTTGTTTCCTCTGTCCTTAGCTCTTGTACACAGTTTTTGAGCAAATGAGTAATTGTTAAAAATAATAATCCCACCCAGAAGACAGGCGACCCCTGTGGAAGAGTCTTAGTTTCCAAGGTTTGCATCCATTCTTACAGGCAAGAAAGCTTGTTTGACAGCAACAGGAGAAAGTAACAGGTACTCTTCTATGATAGCTGAGCACTTTTCTGGAATTCAGCTCCTTTGGCATTAAGCTTTCCTAGTGCGTTAATGATGGTGTTGTGTCTAAGTCTCATTCTGTTGAACTTCCAGATAGGGCTGGTGCTGGCAGCCTGAAATGTTACTGATAGTGTGGAGAGAGGAGCACCCAGTAAAATGTAGTGGCATTCACACTACCAAGGAAGACAGGATCCATGGAAAGAAAACTGGGAAGTTAGTCTGGGGAGTGGGAGCCCTGAGGGGATATTCACACTCAAGACATATGTGAGCACCTTTGAATGTCACAATCACATTTCTTTGAATGTAAGACACCATCAATCACAAAATGCACTGATTTTGTTTTCCTTTTCAGAAACTTGTACACATTTAAGACTTTTTAGCTTTGAGTTCAACTATTCCTTGCCAATTTAAAGAAAAAGAAGGATCATTATTAGATGCTCAGTGCCGCTGATAAGTCATAAACAGGTAACAGCCTAAGGAAATCCACCTGCCTTGGGGTTTGTGTGTTTTGGTGACCAGTGGGATCAAGTAGTCAAAGGGAGCAGGTCAGTGGGCCTCAGGCCAGGAGACAGGTGGGGCAAGGACCAAGTGCCGCTCAGGTCTCCTCTTCTGGGGCTGTAGTGCAGCTGGAAGCTGATGGCTCCAGGAAAATTGTATGGTGCCAACATTCATATAAAATACCACATTGTTGTTTTTTTTTTCAAAGATTTATTGACAAACAGATAGCAATGAGACAGTTTCAAATCAAATCGGAAGGACAGTTTCAACAAATAATACACTGCATATATTCTTCTTAGTGGTTAATTGCTGTACAAGATGCGGACTTGTGATCCTATTTACAAACACCATTAGAACAAATCATTCTATTCATTAAGAGAATGCAACTATATATCTATCCCAACCTCTTTGAATACACAGATACAAAATGGACATTCATCGGTATACCCCATTTTTTCTAAGTTCCGTTATTGAATATTATAGGTGTGTAAACTCAGCAAAATATTCTAAAAGAGTCCAGTAGCCCATAATAGCACTGGGTCTTATATTTAACTGGCAATGTCAGAAATCATTGACCTGAGTCCCCCACAGCTCAACTTAACAGCATGGCTTTATTTCTTATATTTCGACTTCATACTTTTCTACTGGTTGGTTAAGACCAAGGTAAAGCAGGACCTATGCAACAAGAGTTGTAGCTTTTTGGTCTGAGAAATACCACATTGTTTTTATCCATTCCTCGATTGATGGGCATGTGGGCTGTTTCCAAGATTTAGCTATTACGAACTGAGCTTCTACAATCGTGGATGTGTGTATATTTCTAGGGTATGATGCCCATGCTATGGAGCAAAACAAGGTACAGATTCAGCTGGGAGTTGGTAGTTTGATCCTGGCAAGTAGAGTTCCTCTCTTCTTGCATGGCAAGAGGTGAGCTTTTAAGGACTTTGTGAACAACATAACATGCCAAATAAGAGCATTTGAAAGAAAAGTTTTACTTACACAGAACTGATTGCATGGTAAAAGATCTTTTGAGATCCTTAACCAACTTTACTGATAAAGTACTTTACTAGTGTGTACATAAGTGATTAGAACAATTCTCTAAAGCAATTATTAGATTATCTAGCAATTCTTAGATTATTTATTAGATTCTTTCCATCATAATTTGCCTTCTAAATATGTCTCTGTATGTCCTCTTCTGCCCACTGTTGTGTTCTGTATATCCACACTGTCTGTCTTAGAGGTATACAAATTTATCTGTAAAATAATTAAATATTGTAATTAAAGATGTTATTATAGACAATCAGATGCGTAAATGAAGATGTAAAAGGGCAAAATCAGTGGAAGTCGTGAAGTTGGTGGTGTCAACCTCCCTATGAGACTGCCAAAGAGTAAATGTTGTTTAGGATGAATGTGATTGCTTTGGAGAAAGCTCTGTAGCACAAAGAATGGAAAAGCAATGAAACTAGGGAGAAAAGAAAGAATGTCATAAAATATTTAATTTGCAGAACAAAAGTTAAAAGGGTAACTTTCTAAAATTTAAACAATTCTATGCATAACTCATAAGGCAAGTTCCATGTCTAAATGGAAAGAATAAATAAAGACTGAGGAATTGTAGATGTTGTCTTAGTTACTTCTTCATTCCTGAGACAAAAGACCTGCCCCCTGTAAAGGAGCCAAGTTGTATTGTAGCTCATAGTTTGTAGACATCTCAGCTCATAGTTGGCTGGCTCCAAGGCAAAGCAGCATGGGAGAGAAGTACTTCAAGGCATGGAAGGCACCAGTTAGTGAGCAATAGCATCGAGCCTTCTTTCTATTCCATCCAGGCTCTACGCCTATGGGTTGGCGGACCTACACCCAGAGTGGGATTTTCCATTAGCCACATACAAAACTATGCTAAATCAATTAGTCAACTAATTTCATTGTCACACACCCTTAATGAATATTTGCACACCCTCAATCTGGCCACCCCCCAAAAGCCCCATGAGTGCTTGAGATATCCAGATATAAGCCATAACAGATACAGAGCAACATTCCCTAGCAAAGAGATTTAAAGAACAGGAACTAAAATATAAAAATAAGAAGAAAAACAGGAATTAAATTATATTTCCTTCCTTCTTTCCTCCCTCCCTCTGTCTCTCCCTCTTTACTTCCTTATTTATTTTAAATATTGCATTTTTGAGATATAAAACATGATTTGTATATATTGATAGGAGATGAAGGAAGACAAGGGTCAGAAAGGTACTGGGTATGTGGATTTAAACAATATTCTAGAATCTATCATTCCTGACATCTGATAGTCAAGGATATTTCCAACGGTTTTTGTAAACTTATAAGCACTCTCATTATAGCCAGAAATTATTTGCAAATGGTTGGCATAGAATAGATGCTCAAATTTTAAGCAAATGGTGAATAGAGTGGCTGAATTTATGAAAAAGTTCCATGGTGTAGGATAATGTTCAAGCAAAATTCAATTTTTAAAAATTTTTAGTTTCCAAGATGACAACAAATAAACACATAACTGTTTGATTTACGTACTAGTAAATCTTTCTTTGTCTCTCTCTTCCTATCCCCACTCTCGTGTTTCATCTTTCTAATTTCTCTTCAATGGATATTTATTGAGCACTTTATCAGTTAAAAGTTCAATAAGGAGAAACTACATAATAAGTTGAACAATGAGTTTAATATAAAGAATGATTAACTAACAAGGGCCCAGCTTGATGAAGTATTGACTAGTAAGTAAAGAACAGACGATAACCACTATTCGTGGGAATAAAGTAAGGTTTCTAAGGAATGGCCCTCCATAACTGAGATCTAGATCCAGTGGAGTTTGGCTCACTGGAT